GCCAAATTTGAGTCAAAAGGCAAGCCTGACTTCAGTGACCTCGAACTGGCCCTGTCGTGGCTGGCCCTACCATGAAGTGATGTGCAATGTCACTTTTCTGCCTCTAAGCCAGGCCTCTGTGTGTCATTAAAAACACAAGCGTGGGCGTGCGTGTCACATTTGACATTCCTCAAAGTGCCTCTCCCTGGGGAGGACTGGGAAGGTCTTGCTTGTCTGCCACCCTCCTAAATTTGCTTCATTTTTAAAATCTTTGCAAAATGATGTCGTATCAGAACAATGCAACTGCACAAAGGACAAGCATTTAAAGCGCGCGCGCACGCACACACACACACACACACACACACCAACAACAAGGACAATTAGACTCCAGGAAGAGAACAAGGACACAGTCATCACCACCCACAGGACACAGCCATGATTTGTGACATGAAAGTGTTCCATCACAGAACTTCCTTGTAGCACAATGCGTCGCAGCAAGGACATTTTCTTTTGTTTAAATAGGTACAGAATGAAGGCTGCTAATACAATATTCATGTCCATCTGCACCAAGGAAAGTCCGCAGAAAGCTGGGTGGATTTGTCAAGGGTGATGTAGACCTGAGCATACTGTTCTTATGATGGCAGCCAAAAACAGATTTGGTGAGGGGTGGGGGTGGGGAGAGAGAGCGTGCAATGGTTAGAATACTCAGTAAAGCTGCCAGACACTATTGATGCTGAAGGATCCCTTCATTCACAATATTTCGTAGAGCCTAATCGATACCCCTTCTTTCAGAATCATGCGACTCCATATAAGGGCACATAGAGACATAACCCAAGGCTTGCAGCACATTTCCCTCCCCTAAGGCCAAAGACAGCTTGCTGTCAAGCTTGGAATGAAAAGCACAGATTGTTAATCTGCACACTGAGCACTGAATCAATTGTCTTGCCCCTCTCTCCATGCTCCAGGCAGGCTGTCTTTTGCTGCTGCTGCTGCTGCTGCTGCTGCTATTATTATTATTATTATTATTATTATTATACATTTGTTAAAACTTTTCTTTTAAAAAGTATGTTACATTTTTAAATAGTTTGGAAAGTGCTCCCGGAAGGAGTGGGTGCTTTTGTGACGTCACTGTTTCCAGCTAATCGGAGTTGTGTGAACACCTAGTTTCTGCTGCAAGCACGCAGAACCCGTTCCTCCTGAATTCCATCTGGGAGAGGAGAAAATACTTGAGTAAAACAAGGCGAGTGCAATTTCACAGTAAGCTTGCCACTCAGATGATGCATTTCTGTATGGACACTATCGGTCACTGCAAGGCTCGCGGCTTCATTTCCTCGCTCCCCACCCCGGAAACACACAGTTTTTAGGGCTTGCTTTTTTCCACCTGTGCTCTTAAAACAGCTGTACTTTAGTACCCTCCCCTGAGTCCGCAGTGCAGACAGCACAAAAGTGAAGCAATTTACTGCTCTTGGAGAGCATAGCTTGTGATTGCACCTGAAATCATAGCCCCTGCCTGTGCAGGACTTGGCAAATTTCAATTCAAGCCTTGATGTACAACTGCCCTAAAGGTAAAGGTAAAGGGACCCCTGACCATTAGATCCAGTCGTGGCCGACTCTGGGGTTGCGGCACTCATCTCGCTTTATTGGCTGAGGGAGCCGGCGTACAGCTTCCGGGTCATGTGGCCAGCATGACGAAGCCGCTTCTGGCGAACCAGAGCAGCGCACGGAAACACCATTTACCTTCCCTCCAGAGCAGTACCTATTTATCTACTTGCACTTTGACGTGCTTTCGAACTGCCCTACACCAATGTAAAAAGAGCTTGCTGGATCAGGCCAATGGCCCATCAAGTCCAGCATCTTATTCTCAGTCACCAACCAGAATATTCATAGGTATGCCTATGAAAGCAACATGGCAGGCACCTTCCAGAAAGGTAAATCTAGCAGTTCTCCACTGTCTGCTGTTAGCTAATGCGCAACTGCCCTTTCTGTCTTTATTTCCAGAGCAATAACCATCTTGCCCACATGTTGCAAGACAAATGCAGGCTCCCCATCCTGCTCTACCTCGAACTGTCTTGATTCTAGATTTTCTGCAAAAGGTCTCTGGGCCTCACCTTGCCCTACGAGGCCGGCTACAAACTAATCGATCTTTTACCTGCTCTGCTATTAAGTTTGTGTTGTTTTCATTACGGTTTTAAAATGTTTATTTAATGTGCTGTATGGTTTTATTGTTGGCTGTGTTTTTATTGTGAACTCGCCCCAGGATTATTAAATTGATGAAGGTTGGGCTTGAATTACAATAAATAAAAATAACTTTGCTCCCCATTTAGAGTCACCAGCCTTCCCCAGTCATAGCTACGTTGGCAGGGACTGAGGAAGAGCTGTAGTCCAAAAGATAGGAAGGGCACCAGCTTTGGGTGGAGGTCAGAAGCAGAAGGACACAGCTACTGAACTTCTAACAGTGGTGTAAAGGTAAAGGGACCCCTGACCATTAGGTCCAGTCGTGACTGACTCTGGGGTTGCGGCACTCATCTCGCTTTATTGGCCGAGGGAGCCAGCGTACAGCTTCCGGGTCATGTGGCCAGCATGACTAAGCCGCTTCTGGCAAACCAGAGCAGCGCACGGAAACGCCGTTTACCTTCCCGCCGAAGCGGTACCTATTTATCTACTTGCACTTTGATGTGCTTTCGAACTGCTAGGTTGGCAGGAGCAGGGACCGAGCAACGGGAGCTCACCCCGTCGCAGGGATTCAAACCGCCAACCTTCTGACTGGCAAGTGACATACTGAAACTATGGAACTTGCTCCCACAAGTTGGATAGTTTTAAAAGAGGATAGGACAAATAAGTACAGAACCTTGATGACTATGTACTTTCTCCACTGCTGGAGCCAGTATGGCTCTGTATACCACTTACTAAGACCCACAAGCAGGCACAGAGCTGTTGCTCTCAGCTCCTGTTTCCAGGTTTCCCAGCAGCATCTTTCTGGGGCCCTGTAAGAACAGGATGCTGAACTAAATGGACCTTTGGTTCAGTCCAGCAAAGCTCTTTGCATGCCGAAATTCCCTCTTCCACAGAACTTCTCAAGGTGAGAAAGCCCTGAACTCGTTTGCAGTGCCGGATTTACATATAAGCTAAACAAGCTATAGCTTAGGGCCCTACACTCTTTGGGGCCCCCAAAAAAATTGAAGGGGAAAAAACTGGATGTACATTTCCAAAATATAAGATAAAAAACAAATAAAATAACACCTACATACAGCAACAGTGTTTTGTGTTGTGTAGGCCAGGGGTCAGCAAACTTTTTCAGCAGGGGGCCGGTCCACTGTGCCTCAGACCTTGTGGGGGCCAGACTATATTTTTTTGGGGTGGGGGAGAATGAATTCCTATGCCCCACAAATAACCCAGAGGTGTATTTTAAATAAAAGGACACATTCTACTCATGTAAAAACATGCTGATTCCTGGACCATCCGTGGGCCGGATTTAGAAGGCGATTGGGCCGCATCTCGCCCATAGCTGTCAACTTTTCCCTTTCTTGTGAGGAATCCTATTCGGAATAAGGGGATTTCCCTTTAAAGAAGGGAAACGTTGACAGCTATGATCTGGCCCCCGGGCCTTAGTTTGCCTACCCATGGTGTAGGCTCCTATGATGTAAGTAATGGGCCCCACCTGCTAGCCTGCTCCATAAAATATCACTGGTTTTCTCATTTCTATATATTTAGGGTGCCTACATTCTGCATGGACTGGTTGCATGGCAACATGTGCAAATGACTTTAGATTAGGTCCATAAATTACAATATAGCATATATTCAACACAAAAAGCAGTGACAAATTGTTGTTGACAAAGGACAGCTGGACATATAAAGGGCCGCATTACCCTCAGTAGCTTAGGGCCTCATTAAACCTAAATCCAGCCCTGCTTGTTTGCATCTTGCACCTAACCAAATTGGGAATAGGCTGCCAAAGACCAGGCAGGTGGGGACTGCAGGTAACAATCCTGGTTTCCCATTAGGAAAAAAAATTTAAAAGTAATTATAGGCTGATACCTCTGCTAATTCTTCAAAGGTCCTGAAGAAGTAAGCAATCTTCTGAGTCTATAAAGACTGTTTACCTGGTTGGATGTCAAACATAAAGAGAACCCAAAAAAAGAAGAGAAGGTGGGAGGGAATGTTATAGACACTGAACAAGATGTTTAAAAAGCAAATGCAAACCTATGCCTGCAGATTGAGAGTCTTCAAATGGAAGGAAAGAGGTGTACCAAAGAATGAAATTAGGCAGTGCTCGGTCTCCGGTTGCACCAAACGCTGCCGGGACAGAGTAACATGTTTGCTCTCATTTTGAAGCTGTAAAAAACCAGCAGTCATTGAGTTTCACCTATAAGCCTCTTGGGAGGTGAAAGGCACAAAATATGGCAGCACTTAAAAAGGGCAAAACTAGAGCTTAACTTTGGGTGGTGCACTAGGTGTAAAAACAGTAGACGACTCCACTTCGATGGAGTTCCTGCTTCGTGCCAACAGTTTCAATGGCAACACTTGTTTGCAAGATTGCAAACAAAGCATTCCTTCTCAGACCTTCCTCTTGCAACAAACCTTTTAAGCCGAGAACTTTCCCAGTCTGCTTCTCCATTGTCATTCTTTTTATTGTTTTATCTCTTGTTGTTTGTTGCCCGGGGCATTTTGGGGGAAGAAAAAGGTGGGGTAATCATAATGGTTTTTAATAAATGATTTTTTAATAAATATTTAATGTAAAAAAACAGAAAATAAAATGTTTTAAAATAAATATAATGAGAGCGAGAGGAGACAGGAGTGATCAATGCACTGCTGGTATTTTTGGATTCTCCCTTAGGGGCAAGGCACTGGGTTCTCTCTGGGAGCTGGAAGGGACAGGGTGAGCTCCTGCACCCTTTAAAACGCATGACTCCTCCACTGCTTACAGATGTGACTACCAGAATTACTCTGAAACAGTTTTGCAGACCAGTTCAGCAGAGCTACTCTGGAGCAAAACAACTGCACGTTCTTGGTTTTGTGCCAAGCCACCTTTTTGCTGCATCACAGATCCGGCTGAACAATTTACAGCGAGTGTTTATGATGATGAACGCGGGTAAATTGCTCTGTGTTGACAGAGAGGGACATGCAGAAATCCCCATGGTCCTTCTTTTAGCCTATTGTTTGCCTCACCAGGGAAAAGAAAATTGAAGCTGCCACTTTGATTTCTTGCCAGATGATTCCTTGCACCTGCCTTGCCCAAAGGCGAGGAACTGTACAGTCTAGGTAGGAGCCTTTGCCTCATCGTGATGGATAAGTAAGAAAAGGTAAGCATGGCTGCCTAAGAGAAAGGAGTTTCCCATTGCCAAGGGGGAGCAGAGGTATACCTACCATTCTTGCTCCACGGGAATTATTCATGCCTCAGGGTAGGACTCTTAACACATGCTTTGTGTGGTGTAGGTTTAATCATTGGCCTCTCTAGCTAAAACAGGGATGAGCAGCTTGTGGCCATCCAGATGTTGTTGGACTACAACTCCCATCCTTCCTTACCAGTGCACTGGTGAAAGTTGAAGTCTAAGAACATCTGGAAGGACACAGATTTTCCCCATGTTTTACCTAAAAGGACCTGATAGATATTCAACCAGTCTATCGCGATCTACCGGTCGATCGCGTTGCGTTCCTGGTCGATCCCAGCCAAAAGCATGTTCGATTGCCGGAAAACACAAAAAAGCTCAACTACTTTGGTTCTGACTCCCCCCAAAAAGTTCAAAAGCTTTGGAAGTTGGACATCCCTGTGACAGACATTAAGTGGAAATACAGTGGTACCTTGGGTTAAGTACTTAATTCGTTCCGGAGGTCCGTTCTTAACTTGAAACTGTTCTTAACCTGAGGTACCACTTTAGCTAATGGGGCCTCCTGCTGCAGCCGCACCGCCGGAGCACGATTTCTGTTCTCATCCTGAAGCAAAGTTCTTAACCCGAGGTAATATTTCTGGGTTAGCAGAGTCTGTAACCTGAAGTGTATGTAACTTGAAGCGTATGTAACCTGAGGTACCACTGTACCTCTCTGCCTGAGAAGGTGGAAAGAGACATGACCTATCAGAGTTATTGTTGTTTAGTCGTTTAGTCGTGTCCAACTCTTCGTGACCCCATGGACCAGAGCACGCCAGGCACTCCTGTCTTCCACTGCCTCCCGCAGTTTGGTCAAACTCATTCTGGTAGCTTCGAGAACACCGTCCAACCATCTCGTCCTCTGTCGTCCCCTTCTCCTTGTGCCCTCCATCTTTCCCAACATCAGGGTCTTTTCCAGGGCCTATCAGAGTACACATGGATAAATAAAGCAGCCCCCCATATTCTTATGACAATTTGCTATCTTGCAACACCCCCACCCCAGATGTTTCCAGCCACTGCCATCATTCACAAACTCATATATTCCAGAGATTACAGACAACTGGATTTCAGAGAACCCTCCCATTTTCAGATGAATCAAATGGGGAAACAGAATAAAAAAGGAAGATCTGTATTTGCAGCAAGAAGCCACAGGAAACAGATGGGGGTGTGGAACTGCAGAGGGCAAAAAAAAAAAAAAAAACTTCAGACAGCAAGCTTCCTCCTTTTAGGAGGAGAAATGCAATCTGTCCAGGGAGATGATTGCTGAAGTAAAATGCGGGAAGAGTACTGCTTCTAGTCCTACCCGAGGGACTCTGTTTGCAACGGGGGATTGGTAGGTGTTCGATTTTCTTACAGCTGGAGATATTCATCCTCAATCATCCGTTCTCCCATCCCCCATGGTTTAAGCTGCTCCTTTCTGAGAGAAGTCATTTTCTGGTGCTTTTAAACCGTGCACATGAAACGCACGAATCAGAGGGGAGACGTGATTCTAGCGATGGAGAAGAATCAGGTGCTGCCCTTGCAGAGAATGTAAGGGTATGACCTAAACATGCCTCTGAAGATGATCTCTGCCATCATGCCTGTACATCATTATGAAAGTAAATTTTCTAGGTTTATAGTAGTGGAGTCCCTAAATGCACACACACACACAATTTGACAACACTGTCTGTAATAGTTTTTAATCAGGGTGCATTTACCTTGCCCATTTTGCGGAGGAGCAACTATTTTGCAACCTTTGCTCACAAGCACAATGCTTACAACTGCACGCTACTGCCTAAAATGGAAATACTCCTATCTGCAGAAGGTTAGTGCCCTGCCCCTTAACTCACTTGTTTTGGTTAACTGCAAATAGCATAGCCAGGCCACGTCAGGACTGTCTGTCCAGGCTACTGAGGCTAACCTGTTCTGCAAAGCATCCTGTTCACTTGGAATCTGTGCATGCTCAACTATAAATATACGTTGACTAATGTCTTCAGTGTCAACTAATAATTATAGCCCAATGGATCAGGATGTAAAAGCAAAACAAAAAAGCACAGAAATGAAGCTGGGGCTCAAGATTGTCTACTTCCATGCAGACATTGACAAATCTCTTAAAATATTGTTTTCAAGCCTTGGTCCTGCCCAGGCTTGCAAAATAAGTTCCATACCCACCCACCCACCTGAGTCTGTAATATATATGATGACAACGTCCCACAAAACCATCTGCATCTAATTGGGGCAGGAAGACATATTAGGAAGCACAGACTCCGGATTGCTTCCTTGATTATTACTAGTTGAAGGTTTTATTGTTGTTGATTCTTGCTCTCGGTCCTTAGAAACTTTTGAATGCGTGGAAGCTTGCTGTATTCACTTTGGCTGCGTTCAAATATACACCCACCCACCCGCAGACCCAAACAGGCTTATTTCTTCAGTATGTCGACCGATTTCATCTCGACCAGGGCTTCTCCCTCTCATCTCTTCCTGACTTCCTAGTCTGTGCTACGAAGCACAGAGGCAGTTATGTGTTTGTTAGTTAGCTGGAGCATGCGCCCAAAGGGAGTGGGTGTTGGGAGACAACCACAGAAAGAATTGTTGGGAAGAATGGCTGTGTCCTCAGGAGAACTGGCACAGCTGGCAGAGCAAGCGCTAAAGCACACATATCTGCATTTTACATGCAAGGGCGAGAATAGTTATGCAACCGACTGACCTCTGCTTGGCTAATGGGAGGTTTTCCTGCAGTCCGGCTAGGATGCAAGTTATCAGTGGCATCAAGATACAGGATAGAGAACCACAATTCAGGGGCTGGTTTTGAGAGTCCATGTTATTCCTAAATTTCAGCCTCTTTCTCTGCAATGAAAAGAAAAACAGTGGCTAAGTGTCTGCCCAGGAAAGCTGTCATGAAAAAAAGAAATAGATCTCTGCACCTTGGTGCTTGATTTATAATTCAGTTTCCTGCTCCTGTTTGTGGCATTCTACAGCCTCGAAAACGGGGATTTTACAATTGGGAATCCCCTTTATACCAATGGCAAAGGCCCCAAAAGAACATGGGAAGTGTTAGGATTAGGGCTGCTTGCTGTAAATCAGTTTAATCACGTAACTGATCAGCCAAAGCTTTCTTTGATTAATTGGAAGGGGTCAGGTACTATTGGTGCAGGTAAGTTTTAATCAGTGGCACTGAGAATTAAAGGCATATTAGTTTTTGAGACCAATTTGGTTCAGGTATGCTACTGTAGTGGGCTATGGGGGGGGATTAAATTGCATTTTCTTATAACATTGAGTTGTACCTTTTGCCTATTGAATTGCATCAGCTTTTTTGTAGGAGCCTAAGGCCATGACAAAGACATGCTGAAATACACCAATATAATAAAACAAAATCTAAATGTTGAATAGTTTTGTTTGTTCTATTATAGGTTAGCTTGCGCTTCCTTCAAAAAAGCTCCTATGTGGACTTTTTGGGGAATGAGTCTATTTAAAGGCTTATTCATGAGCAATTAAAATTATTTATCTGTTCACTGCTCTAGTTACGATAATTACCTAACCCTAAACCATTAATTGTGACAATTCACTCATCTCCAATCCTAACCCACTGGAAGTAATCCTCATTAAAGTCAACAGGGCTTAACTTCTAAGTAGACCTGGTTAGGACTGCAGTCTTAGCTAACAGTTCTGTGCAGAGAAGCAGCAGGAATCTGGTTTATCTGGATCAATTTAAGGCCACAGTTCTAAACACACACACACACACACACACACACACACTGACACTTAACAGGTAACAAGTTACACTGAACTCAGTAAGACTTATTTCTGAGAAAATGCTTCAAACTGAACTGCATGTAGCATGCAAGAAATTCCAGCTACGGAAACACTTGAGGGGTCATGCAATAGCATGCCCTGCAGTGGAGCTGGCTTGGAAAGGAAAGAAATTGGCCTGAATCTGTCAGGAAGCTGATTGTGGAATCCTACATAAGCCTATGAGAAGTACGGTACACCCAAGGAAATCCTTCCATCTGCCTCCTCTTCCTGCCTCCTTTAGCATATAGAATGTTAAACAATACCGTGCTTAACCCTGGAAAGACAGGAGGAGCCAAGCACAAACAATCTTTACCCTGAGGCATAAAAACCAGTCCCAAATTGACCCTATATGGAGGTATCGAAGGGATGATCTGAAGTGCAGAATCAGCAAACTGGCAGGATAAGATGCTGATTGGGTGACCGAGGGTGTGAGACTGAGTTTGCTCAGGATTTAATCACACTGTGTTGTTCACTGGCTGCACCACAGGCAGGCACACAACAGTGTTTGTTTAATGTGTCCTTCCTTTCAGACGAACTTTTGTTTGCTTATTGCAGGACCTAAGCCCACTGGAAGCAGCAAATCTCTGTTAAAGGTGCAGCACCAACCCAAACATTGTATTTCACCAGCTCCTTCAGAGCATGTAATCCCACAGATCTTCATATTACCATAACCTCTATGGTTCAAAAACCTTACAAACTATTTTTAAAAAATGCACAGGAACTGTGTTTGCTAAATAATGCACAGGGTCCAGATGACATCTCTGTATATAGTGCATGTGCAGAAACTCTACATTTCCATCCATCACGCCACAATATTGAGCTTCTGGTAATACCTGATTCATTCCCTGCCTCCACATTGCAATCTATTATACTTGGGCCTGTTATTTAGATTGTGAGAACATCCCAACTCATTCTCTCTGCATTACCATTTTAATTATTTTTATTAGGAGTTGCATGCGCCTCTGCTGTAACCCTCGGTTGGCAGACTGATTATGCAGCCCTTTTAAAATTAAAAGCACATTGATGAGTATCAGTAAGATCATGACTTACCCAAGCATTCAACAGGCTCTTCCCATTGTTTTCTTTCATTTTAACGTGGGCTGTAGACTCATTCTCTCCAGTTCAGTACTGAGGATCTCAGAACACTGATTAAAATTGGGAGACCACACATACTGTGTGCAGCAGGTTTATGTACTAACACATGGCAAGACACTTGTCTATTGCCAAGGGGTCATGATCTGGCACTACAAATGTTATTTTTGCACAAAGGGTGTGTGTGTGTGTGTGTGTGTGCATGTTTGTGCATTGCTGCATGGAAGGGCCAGGATACCCAATTTATGGGGCCATCCAAGTCCTCACATCATTTCCCCGAAGACTCAACACCATCTTTCTATCTGTTAATCATATATTTGATTCTCCAAAGTCCCAAAATATTACTCCATGTACAGGCAGCTCTCTGTTTTCATGGGGGAGTCATGTTCCGGGTTATTGTGTGCTTGTGTGAAATCGTGTATTATCGGAACACCCATTGAAAAAGCTTGCAAACACCCTTTTTCGCCCCGCCCAGTTGCTTTGTGGGATGTTTTTCACTTCTGGGTAGGGTTGCCATACGTCTGAAAATTCGAGGTCCATTTCCCAAAAATCAGATGTGCTTAAAATCGTCGCTGCCTTATCTTCCTTCTGCTTGGTTTCAGCAGGCTGGGTTAAAGTAAACAGGTGTGTTTGGAGTATCATAGCCTATGGAGATGCAATCTAAGGGAAGGACAGCAGAAAGGGCCACATGACCTTGCAAACTGGGGCGGAGAACATGCCATTGCCATATACCTGGTTCCTATACCTGGCTAGTGCTCCTGCCCATCGAAAATTATTATTTCACAGTGCAATCCACTCTAAACTAGGCCCTGCTTAGTTTGGTGTGAGTTCAGGGTCCAAGTAAAGTGTGCATGATTCCGATTCAGAATCCTAGGCTATGCAGTTTCCGGCCTAATCCGAAAGAGCGGGGCGAATCACTGATGGTTGAAGGTTCCTTCTGACTTTACAAAGTACTTTCAAGTTAAGTGCATACTCCACAAATGAACACACGGATGTGGCCTACACGCAGATTGCCTGCTAATTCCTTCCCATAAATAAGAACATTTGAAAAGACCCTCTGATTATTATGAAAGCTGCCCAATACAATGCAAGGTTATCCAGAAGGTGCTAGATGGCTTAGGTTCCAAGCAAGTGTGCCTAGGATTGGAACCTGATTCTGCAATAGTAAAGGTAAAGGGACCCCTGACCGTTAGGTCCAGTCGCGGATGACTCTGGGGTTGCGGCGCTCATCTCGTTTTAGTGGCCGAGGGAGCCGGCGTACAGCTTCCGGGTCATGTGTGCCAGCATGACTAAGCCACTTCTGGCGAACCAGAGCTGCGCACAGAAACGCCGTTTACCTTCCCGCCGGAGAGGTACCTATTTATGTACTTGCACTTTGACGTGCTTTCGAACTGCTAGGTTGGCAGGAGCAGGGACTGAGCAACGGGAGCTCACCCCGTTGCGGGGATTCGAACTGCCGACCTTCTGATTGGCAAGCCCAAGAGGCTCAGTGGTTTAGACCACAGTGCCACCCGCGTCCCTCTGCAATAGTACATATTGTGAATAATGCCTAGAGGGTGAAAATATGGAGTCAACTATAGGAGCCAACTTATTGCGGCCGAGGTCCCAGCCCCCTCCCCCAATGTTGATGGGCATTGCCATTCAAATAGTGTGCACGCACTGTGTCTTATGATCAATTGTGCGGGGCTGGGCTCACCTACCCCCCCCCCCCCAATATTTTATTCAAGTTGGCATCCCTGCATTCTCTCTCGCTGATCTGCGACTTAAAAGTCCACCGGCAAGAAAGATCTCGCCCCTCCCGCTTGCTAAAAAAGGTCCTAGGTGCGCGAGCCTTATCGAACATGCCGGGCCAGGGCGGATCTTCGAGCCACTGGCCAGAAATCTCCAAATATAGGCATGCGGAGAAATGCCTTTTGTTTTCCCCTCCCCGTCGGCCGTGTCACCTGGGCTACCGAGCAGCACCACCTTGCTCCGGCAGACACCCACGAGGTTTCGGTTCGCCGCTCCCTCCCCGTCACGCTGCGTCTGTAACGAATGACACGCGGGAGGAGGGGCAAGGCGCTGTTGCCGAGAAGGAAATTCACCAGCAGGGAGAGAGGGAGATGACTTGCTTCTGTGTGCCCCCTTGTGCAACGGGGGTGGGGCTGGGGCGGATGTGCGTCGAGGGGGGAGGAGAGGGTCGGGTTGGGATTTCATTCATTGAATTGAAGGGAGATCTGTGCCCGGCGTGGCTTGATTTTTCAGCCAGCACTAGCTTCCGGAGTTCGGTGCTAGGCGACACATATGCAGTAAAGAAAGAAGAGTGCTCTCGGGCATGTGCAGAGGGCTTTTCGCTCTTAACACAGATCGGTGTGTGTGTGTGTGTGTTTTCAGGGATGGCTTAAGAGTTCGGCTCTTTACGCCCGTTTCCTGGAGATGCTAAGAGCAAAATGTCCAAACCGAAAAGAAGGGGGCGGGGCGGGGGGAACACCGCTGGAGAACATACGTCAGGGGTTTCGAAATAAAGGGGAACCCGGCAAGTTTCGATGGCGCGTTCTGTAGCGAAGGGACGGCCTGTTACAGGCAACTTCCTTGAAAGAAAGGCGCCTCTCCCGTGCACGCCTGCCTGCAAACTCGCTCTCTCCAGGCAAACTGCGCCAAACCCGGACAAGCCGCTCTGCTAGCGCCAGGGTGCCTGATGATCGCCCTTTGGGAGGCGGTGTTGCCTTGCTCCGTTTTGCCTTCAAATGCACTGAGCACCAGCCCCCTCCCTGCTGCTGCTGCAGCCATTTAATGACGTGACCCAGGTGCACATGCCAATTTTTAAGCGTGCTGACAATGGGCAGACGGAGCTTCCAGGCTTTCGCTGCTCTCCGCGCTCAGACTTGGCCTCGCGCCGCCCCCTTTAGCCCCCCCCCCCCGCGTGCCTGCGGCCCTTGCAAGGCCTGGCGGCTTCCGCGCGCCGCATCAGCGTTGCCTTGGCGAGAAGCAAGCGGGCAATTCAGCAGGTAACTGCTGCTGCCGCCGGAGGTTATGTCGCATACAGTTCCGGGTTGCGGCCCTCCACGCTTCCGAGCTTGCAAAGCCATTGTCTGAAGACCCTGGTAGTTCTGCACGCTTGCCGCCGCCGCCTTCTCCAAAGGGGGCTGGGAAGGAGCGAGCCTGGAGGGCGATGCGTGTGGTGGATTGGGCTGCGCAGGCGATCAGCGATGCCCTGGGTCTGCCTTGGGTGGGGCATCTCTGCACCAGGCCCGCGTTGAACGAGAACAGGCGCTCGGGACTGTCGCTGCTGTTTGCACGCATGCAGCTGCTCTCGTTTGCTCCTTTCGGGAGGCTCTGCAGCGGCAGAAGGCTGCCTCATGTGCGCAGCCTTGGCTCCGCCGAAGGGAACACGCCCTCCCCTTCAGCACAAAAGAATCTGAAAGGCATGCAAATGCCTGGAAGGAGACAGAGCCCCGCGCTGTCCTCAGTCAGGCCTGCAGCAGGAAGCGAGCGAGCCTTCCCAGCTCCTGCCTCCTGGTTCCTTTCTCGCCCCCTTACTGGTGCCTTGCTGACTAACTGGAAGAGCTTAGAGGACAGAGGTCCTGACTTTGGGGGACTCTTTCCCCTCCTCCCCCGCCCAGGACAAATGTCAGAAACAATTAAAAAGTGTCATACGAAGCAGTCTTCCTGTGTACTCGTATTGCAGGCCTCTTGGCCTTGATATACTTGTCCCTCAAGTCACCACTAGCTGTGGCATCAGCTGTTGCAAATGAACCAGAATGAAAACAAGCAAGGGACTTTGAAAGTGGTGAGAGCTTTGGTAAAGCAGCCATATCTTGAACCCAGCTGGGAACTGGAACCCATTTTACTTCAGAATGTCTTTATTGCCAGCAATCTCTGGAAGATTGCAGGCTTCCATATTCCTGCAATAGTTGCTTCACTTTATGAGCCAGTAACAGGGCTATATGTTAGAAATCAATAAATGCACCCACATGGTAACTGAGCTTGCCACTCCGTTTTCTATGATTGTCCAGCATGTTTCATTCTCTGAGTTCCTCCTTTTTAAATCTGGAGTACTGCTAAATTCCTTACCACTGAACGCGTTTTCCTATTGGCAAGTAACTTGGATGGGAAATTTACAGCAAAAAAATGTTGGGAACTCCTATTAAAAGGGATGGTGGGGATTGGATCAGCCATGTTTAAAAAACGTGTGGCACCATTTCCCATTTCCTTTAAAGGCTCTAAATGTTTCCCTTCTCCAAATGTTTCAGAGGGGAATCCCCCAGGCTTAAATATACTCAAGCATTAGTAAGTCAGCAAAAAGCAGTGGATAGGGATGCTTAAATAAATCAGCGTGTGAAGGCCTCTGCTTCTACTATTCTGCCTTCTCTGGGACTGTTGAAGGAGTTACTCATATGGTTACTGGAACTTCCTGTATTGTTGGAAGACTTAATATAAGATTATCAGACTGGAAAACATCAATGTCTTTGGAACCAAGCCTCCTTTGGAACCAATACACACACTTTTTCAGTGAGTCCTAATGTATGGAACTGAGATTCTAATTTAATCAGCATCCATTACTGCAAATGCAAAACAGGAAGTGATAATTTTCCAACAATAAATAATACAGAATAAAAATTGTGCAACCTGATGGAGCGATGGAGTTCAAACAATTTCTTATCCCTTTCTTACGATTTGATGAGGTGTCCGATTTCTATTGATTCAGTGCCTGTTACTCATATCATAAGCCTTCTGCTATTGGTAGCCTAGCTGTCAGTTGAGTTGGCAGACAAAGCTTTCCAGTTTAGGAAGACAAAGTAGGTTATGCTTCTGTGGGAAAGGAAGAGCTTAGTCACCTGCTTATAGGCGAGGTCTGGTTATTTTTCTAGGTGTGTGCAGGGAACAGGGTTGGGCAGAGACCAGCTGTTTCACCTGTGTTTAGTGGCAGAGTGTTGTTACTTTTCCAAGCAACATTTACAGTTCTGTGCGGGCTTGGATTTGTAAGAACAGTTTCACTTTTCTCGACAAGCCTCTTTCAGCTGATTTGAATCAGTGACCAAGCCCTCTGGTTAGAAAAATGAATAATGGTGATGTTTTCTCTTAACTACAGGATGAGCCCATCCCCAACAGCACAGGCCAGAAGTAATGGTGACAGAGTATGCTTCAGTGCTTATACACTGGGATAACTCAGTCAGTAGAGCATGAGACTATTGATCCCAGGGTTGTGGGTTCAAGTCCCACATTGGGCAAAACGATTCCTGCATTGCAGGGGGTTGGACTAGATGACCGTTGTGGTCTATGATTCTGTTGTTAGATGGAACTCAGCAAGGAAGCCATTCATATACAGTGAGGTTTGCTGATAGTCTGTAGAACTTAAAAGGTACTTTACAGGGAAGGGCACGGCTAGACTTTTAATAAATTTGGGAGATTATCAGCTAGGCTTCCACACTGGGGCCTTATGGACCACAACAGCCTCTCTTTTGTTTCAGAAGGAGCTTTTAATGTCCAATGTATTGTGTGTTCTGTTATATTCTGGTGGAAGCAGCCCAGAGTGGCTGGAGCAACCCAGTCAGATGTGCGGGGTACAAATAATATTGTTGTTGTGTCTTCTGGGCTCACCCTGGATCTGTTCTGCCACCATTCATTAGACTCAACTTCTCTTCAGACGCAAAAAAGGTGAAGAGGTATGGGGTGTTTTAGAGTCCATACTGCAATAGTTTTACACTGAAGTAAGCTCCATTGAATTCAGTGGCATTTCCTCCTCAGGTGAACAAGAGTGTAGGACGTTCAACCAAGTCAGATCATTGGTCTATTCAGCTCAGTATGGTCAACACTGACTGGCAGCTTTCCCAGCCCTACATAGAGATGCCAGGAGATTGAAGCTGAGACCTCCTGCATGTGAAGCAGATGTTCTGCAGCTGAGCAATGGCCCTTCCCTGAGCTGCTGTGGTTAGGATTGCAGACTTAGTGGTCACCTCTACAGCCTGGACTATTTCAATCCCCTGGACTCAAGAGATGCAGAATCAGTCCTAGAGCAAGCATGGCCAAACTTGGCCCTCCAGATGTTTTGGGACTATAATGCCCATCATCCCTGACCACTGATCCTGTTAGCTAGGGATGATGGTAGTTGTAGTCCCAAAGCATCTGGAGGGCCACGTTTGGCCATGCCTGGTCCTAGAGGATGTAAATCCTTCAGGTTTGAGTGATGAACATGTGCTGTGTCTCAACATTTACTGTGAGCCAACATTTACTGTGACACTGGCCCCCTTGCTTTGCATATAGTCTAAAAAGCGTGCCCTTAATGTCTTCGGGTAAAAGCATTCCTTCTAACCTACACGAAAAGTCTACTCTCCACCTGCTCCACAAAACATGGTTTGAGAATTGTACTTCCCACAAAAATCCCTACTTCACTTTTTTCCCTTTTCCAACATTTCTTGCTTTTGACAAGCAGTTCTTTGGAATTTGCTTGCTCCTGGAAAACAATGTCACCATATTTTGTGAGGCTTTCAGCTAGTTTCCTGTACCCGTGTGTGCCAAGTTCATGTCATTCAGTATTGAAAGCACTAGTGACTATAGCAACATAATAATCCTAATGCCTTCATATAAACAGGTCAGCTACTTAAGGTGTGGCACTCACTACTGTGGAAGTAGTGGCACAGATATGGTGGCATAGTTAAAATGTGTTGATGTTGCCCCCAAAGGGAGCCTTGAACAGTAGCTGTTTTAATGTGGAAACTAGGACAGGATGCTCCCAGGACGAGGTGACATCATGTCTGGAATGGGGCAACGGTCCCGGGCCTGTTGTCAGTGGAATGGAAGTAGGCATCTTTTGCACCTGGTAATCCCTGGGGATACCCTTGCAATGCACCGTCATTCCGTTGATGCTTCCATTGATGCCTAGTCAGTGGCTGCTTCCGGGCAGAGGCAGCAGCATGGCAGGGCTTACGGCATCAGCTGAACAAAAGCCATAGAGAAACACGGCGTTGCACAGACACCGGTGCATCTCTGTGGCCAAACACCTTGCCAATGCACCGAGTAAATGGCCCCATGGAAGCAGAACAGTTATCACGCTTTGTTCCAAGGCACTGCAGTCGCAGCTCAGGTAACCTTGTGGCCATCCCGGACTAGGAATTGCAACCCTGGTGTGGGTGCCAATCCCTGGGACTGCTGCCACTGCAACACTACCATGGCTTATGTGGCCAAGTCAGAAGCCTGAGAGTCTAGGCCTCGAGATGGATTGAGGGCCTCGACTGCAGTCCAGTGCCCATAGAGCAGGTAGGGCAACAGACCTCGACGCCCGCATGTCCCACCCATTGCACGACTTGTGACAATGGTGGCAACCCTCGATTCCCCTTGCTGTCCATCAACTGCAATCTGGCTAGGATGTGCGCGTTGGGCGGCGGGAGCATCCCACGGCCGTGCCTTCTCCTTAATCTTGGGGGGTGAACTTAACATGGGACCGGGACGAGCGAGGCCCCGGTGCAAAAGCTGCGGACCCTTCCCTCCCCCCCCCCCCTCGGCCCCCGGCCTCGTTGCTCATGCTGATTCCGGGGTTGAGCGAGGAGGAGGAGGCGGCGCCAGGCTGCTCTCGTCCGCCCCACGTGGCCCGGCCCGCGCCAGCCAATGGCAGCGCGTGTTTCTGAAAGATCTCCATATATGGCGATGTTCTCGGCCGGCGAGGCGGGGGCCGGCACCCCCTGGGTATAAAAGGGGCGGGGCTGGCGTTGGGACGGTCTCACTCAGCCGGCGGCAGCGGATCTGGCAGTAGCAGCTCTTTTCTTCCCGTTCTCTTGAAAGCTCCCGCCTCCTTTCAGGTAGGTTTCAGCAGCCGTTTATTCTGACGGAGGGGTGCTTCTCTTCCAACCCCCCCACCCTAAACCTTCCTTTATATTCCCTCTTCGCGCTTAGGTGAGAGAAAGGTGTAGGTGTTCCTATATTTCATTTCCCTTAGGAGTAAAAAGCGCCTTAGAATTCCTTCAGTTGGCTGCGGTTAAGGGCTTCTCTCGGTTCCTCTCCACCCCCCTCAATCCCTCTTTTGTCTGGTCGTGCGTTAAGGCTCGACCAACTCCCGCCCCCCCCCCCCCCGCTTATCTTGCGTCGGTTCCTTTGCAACGGTCTTGGTTGACGCGCGCGACCTTCTCGTGCCCGTAACGGCTTTTTGAAAGGGGGAGGAGGGGCTGTTGGCTCGGGAAGGGCACCGAGGGCGTGATTGGTCGGCCTGAAACTTTGACGTAATGGAGCGGGAAACGAGAACCTTGGTTTCTTGCTGCGCGCGGCGCCCCCTCCCCTCCCCCACTTTTTCCGCATAGAAAATTTACTCTGGGCGTGGGGAGGTGGGGGAAGGTGGTTGAAGCTGGAAGGGGAAAGATGGGAGCGTCTGAAAAGGGCTTTTTCTTTTAACTTCGCCGGGGTTTGTGGCGGGGGGGTGGGGCGTTGGTTGGGGTGGGGGCTGGTTCCTGCAAAAGGCACCCTCACTCCGGCTGTGAAAGGAGGGTGGGTTCTCGAAGAGGGCGGGGTTAGGGCTGCGCAGGACGTCGTGAAGGGTGGAGCCCGGTGCGTCGTGTCTTTGGGGTGGCTCGGTTTGCCTCGGAATAGAGTGGGCTGCAGGGATATGGCTTCCTGTCCGTGACTGCAACACTGGAATTTGCTTCTGAGTAGATGCGCAGAGGACTTGAGTGCATGAGCAATTTTGTGGCCTGGTTTGGCTCGGCTCCCGTTAAATGTTCAACGGAGTCTTCATGGGAATAGTGTAGTTGGCTAAAATGAGTTATTCTATCTAGAAGTTGGGCTGATGCCAGTGGTGAATCCCTGAAGGGTTAATGTGCATACACCCTGCTCAAACGCCTTTTCTTCTGTTTCTGACTTGGTATATTTCGTTTTGAAATTAGCTAAGGTGTTAAGCCAAACTTTACAGTGGTTTCAGGGAAGACTATCCATAGTAGTACTGCATTCAGAAAGTGAGCATAGGTGGGGGGGCATGAGAGGAAGAATTCTAGGGCATTGTACATATATGTAGTTAACTAGAGAATATACCCTGTTCAACTCAGCCCTGTTCAGTATGCCCTGGTCAGCTTTACTTTTGAGTAGAAATGTGTAAGATGGTGGTGTTAATGTTAGGTTGTTATGGCTATGGGATGGGTGTATATATATGCATTTAGCTGGTCTACAGAGTAAGGAAAATGAAGTAAAAAGCTCTGGACCATGGTTAAAATATAGACAAGAGGGTGGGGTTTCTAGTCTGGATGGTAGGTTGGCAGAGCAGCCTCTAGTGGCCAAAATCTGTAGTGTTTGAAGGGCGTCCATTGATGATGCCAAAATGCAGCACTATATTTTTCAATGTTGCTTAATAAATGCTTTCTTTTTGTGAAAAGCAGATCTCCAAAATGGAAGAAGAAATTGCAGCGCTTGTCATTGACAATGGTTCCGGTATGTGCAAAGCAGGCTTTGCTGGAGATGATGCTCCTCGTGCTGTGTTCCCCTCAATTGTTGGGCGCCCACGCCACCAGGTAAACATCAAAGCAGGAGATCTATTTGTTTTGTGTTTTAACATGAGATGGTTTATTTTTGTATTTGCTGATTGTTTATTTCTCTTAATAGGGTGTCATGGTTGGTATGGGCCAAAAAGATAGCTATGTAGGTGATGAAGCTCAAAGCAAGAGAGGTATCTTGACTCTGAAGTACCCTATTGAACACGGCATTGTTACCAACTGGGATGATATGGAGAAAATATGGCATCACACTTTCTACAATGAGCTTCGTGTTGCGCCAGAGGAACACCCTGTTTTGCTTACAGAAGCTCCTTTGAATCCCAAGGCCAACAGAGAGAAGATGACACAGGTACAGCATTGGTGCAGCTTTTACATCTTGCCACTTTTTCCCATTTCACCACCCCTTTTCTTTAAGTTACAATTTCTCTTCTCTCATTATTTTCAGGGTTCTGTACTCTCCTGGCATTTCCTTCCTTGAAGTCTCTCAGGTTTCTGTTGTATTTCTACCTGATTTTCTTTTGGTTTTTCTCCCCTACATCCAATACCTTGCATGTCAGCATGTGTGTGTGTTAACTACTAAAGTGGTCCCTTATTAAGACAACATTCTTTTCTCTTTATTTAGATCATGTTTGAGACCTTCAACACTCCTGCCATGTATGTGGCTATCCAGGCTGTGCTGTCCCTGTATGCCTCTGGTCGTACCACTGGTATTGTAATGGACTCTGGAGATGGTGTCACACACACTGTGCCCATCTATGAGGGCTATGCCCTTCCTCATGCCATCCTGCGACTTGATTTGGCTGGCCGTGACCTCACAGACTACCTCATGAAGATTCTGACAGAGAGAGGCTACAGCTTCACCACCACAGCTGAAAGGGAAATTGTGCGTGACATAAAGGAGAAGTTATGCTATGTTGCCTTGGACTTCGAGCAGGAGATGGCCACAGCTGCTTCCTCTTCCTCTCTGGAGAAGAGCTATGAATTGCCTGATGGTCAAGTGATCACCATTGGAAATGAGAGGTTCAGGTGTCCAGAGGCCCTCTTCCAACCATCTTTCCTTGGTAAGCATTTAGTGGCAATGGTAACAAGACAAATTACATGTACCATGCTCTAAATCCTAGGAAGTAAGTCTGTGTATTAGTTGCATGTTCAGCATACTTAAGGAATTTTTTTTCTTTTAAGGTATGGAGTCATGCGGCATTCATGAGACCACTTTCAACTCTATCATGAAGTGTGATGTTGATATCCGAAAGGACCTGTATGCCAACACAGTATTGTCTGGTGGTACCACAATGTATCCTGGAATTGCAGACAGAATGCAGAAGGAGATCACAGCATTGGCGCCCAGCACAATGAAGATCAAGGTAAGGGTGGCTTACATCACAACTTGGTAGTGTAATAAAGCAGTTGACTCTTAGGAAGATAGCTGATCCATAAATCTTTTCTTTTTAAAACAGGGCTGATAGCAAGAAAGTAAAAAGTTAAATGCATGTATAGTCAGATCTTTTCTAACTTTAACATGTTTTCTTCCAGATCATTGCTCCCCCTGAGCGCAAATACTCTGTCTGGATTGGTGGATCCATCCTTGCATCCCTGTCTACTTTCCAGCAGATGTGGATCAGCAAGCAGGAGTATGACGAGTCTGGCCCATCCATTGTCCATCGTAAATGCTTCTAAATGGACTATTGACAGATGCGCAGCATTTGCTGCATGAGTTTTTCACCAGTATAAATTTGCCTGAGCAAATATATACACCTCATGCTAGCCTCATGAAACTGGAATAAGCCTTCTCTTCACAACATTGTCATTGGGAAGCCTGTCTCCAATAATCCTGTGAGGATGTCTACCTGTTGCTGATATGACCCTGTACTCAAGTTAACTGTTCCCTTTGTACATAGCAGTATAACTACCCTATACACATCTGGCCCAGGACCTAGAACAGGAGGCATTCATACAATACAAAGGTTTAACTTGTGTCTGTAACTATTTGGGACAGTGGTCTCAGTGTAACCAGCAATGTTACAATGGAGTTTTGAGGCTAGATCTGTACAGGGTAGCAAAAGATCAGACTTCCACTACACAAAGCGCTAAGAATTCCAGGTCACTATTGTTGAGGCTGGCAAGAGTTTGTGAAAAGGATGGCCATTTTTGTCTTGCCACTGTTACTAGCGGGGTTGGAAACATATCGCATCCAAGCCTTATGAACCTGTTTTTTCCTTGCCCACCTGTATCCCAACAAGACAACCCAGGGCAAAGTTGCTCAACTTCAGTTGCTCCAATGTTTGCATTGACACCTGTAAATTTAATCATCAGGTTTAATTTATGTAAGATTTTTGTATGTTGCCTTAATGTTGTCATATGACAGTAGAAAACCAAAATTTGTAAGTCATCCTGAAGTTGAGAATTGTAATGCCCAACACATCATTGTGAAAGGAAAATAAAGCGCTGCAGTAAATGAAATGGGCTTAATGTTGTCTAATGGAAAGTTATTTAACATACTTTTGCTTTTGGAAGCCTTTCTAGACAGGGCAGTGAAAATTATGACCTAGCTCTGGCTTAATGTAGTTTCTGTTCAGTCTGATCAGGTTGACCACAAGCTCTGTAATAAGTGCTAAACTTAATATGCTGCCAAATAGCTTCCAAACATTGCTTTAGTGAACATGACCAGACCTTAGCCATGTGGGATATTAATACAAATGTATGCACTGTAGCAAATGCTAAACAAATGGCATTATTTTAACTCTGATTTCAGAGTTTTCTTAATTCAGTGTTATTGAAATGATTTAATTGGGCAGACCAGGTTATTGTGCAGGTAGATCACAACTTGCTGTTGTGATAGCTTGCCTAAGTGTGCAAAAGATACTGATTTTAGGACAGGATTACGAGGTAGAATCACTTGGAAGCAATGAAAAAATTACATCCAAGCTGCATTTTTGGGGTTATTCAAGAATGTACTTCACCTCGTTTTGTAGCTATGGGTTAGCTTGGTTTACATTTTTCTAAATTTAAACTGACAGTTAAAATATGTTTATGCAGCACTTCAGAAGTGTTTGAGTAGGACTGGGATGTCTAGGATAACCTGTTGGAGTAGCATACTGTTGGTAGCATTAAAGGTTTTCAAAACATAATTTCAGCTTTGCAAAAGGCTATGTGAAATACCACAATGATGACTTTGTAAATCTTCCCTCACTACCATCAAATCACATTTTCCACCAAGGGGGAGGCAAATGAAGTGTCCCATTTTCTTTTGTGTATCTTTGTGTCTTACAAGATTTCACTAGGAATCTGTCCCTTTTAATAAATAGTCATAAGAACAAGCATACCTATACATGTGTATTGGGGTGGTACATAAGGCAATCACTAGATACACTGAGAGCATTAGTAATTGAGGGAACAGCTATGAAATTCCCAGGGAGGTACATTTTGAATTGCAGATGAATCTGCACAATACCATAAAACGTGATTCAATATTTTGTTGGTTACACTAGATTTGTGTTTCAGGTTAAAATATTGTAGGAAGGGAAAAACTTACTACAATGTGTTTTAGTCTTCGTAATACTGCAAGACTTTAAATACTAAGAATTTAGATTACTAAATCTATTTGAGATCTGGGAGCAAACTGAAAATGAGTACAGTAAGCTTGCAACTTGTGTGCATTCAGATTTACTTGTTTTGCAATAGAAAATAAAAATTTGAAAGGGATGGGCACCCAGGAAAAGAGACTTTGGCAATCTCACCCACCGTTGCTCCCAATATGTGATTGGCCTAGGCAGGATCCATGGGATTTAAACTTGTAAGCTTTGTTCTTTGACAGAATGCTTAACTTGGGGGTGCCCCACTGGTTTGTGTTAGGACAGTTTATCAAGAGTTACACCTTTGCACTGTTCCTGGATAGTTGGATGGGGTGGTTGTTTAGCAGGGAAGAGCTGCTCATTTTGACTCTAAATTGCACTGACATATCTCCTGTCAAGAAGGGATGTTTATTCCCATATAGCAGGAAAACTAGTTTAGGGATGCCTACCACATGTCCTCTATAAGCAAGATGCTGTACATTGGTTGAATAAATTTGACAGCTGCCTGCTTGTGTGACTATCCAGAGCTCTTGGTGCTAAATTCATATTCAAGAGCTAGTATATTGCAGAAATTGACAAATTCCTGTTAGTCTTTATGGAATATCTCTTGTTAATCTGTGCAATAGAAAAGACTGCACAAGGGAATGCAATGCACAAGGGGATGTAGCATCATGCATAAATGTTTGGTTATATACAAGTTAAGATACCTTTCCTTTGGAAGAAAGGATGTACTGTGGGGTTGCCTGGTGGGAGTGGAGTTTCAGCCTCCAGTCTGCTAAAAATAGCTATGACTTTGGCAAAGCATGCTAGGAAATGAAAATGAGGGAGGTGCACAAGAATCCTTTTCAGAAAGGTAGCATGTACATTTGAAGTCATCTTTGTTACAAAAAGCAGGATACTTAAGATGCCAACCTTATCCTAGGGGAAGTTCTCCGCTTGCCTATTTGCACATATTTGTGTTATTTTAAGGACATTTCCACCGCTGGCCTTTTGTTCAGTACCCTTGACAATGTTTTAGTTTAAGCTAAAGGATAGACAGCAAGGAACAAAAGGGAGGCATGAGGTATCTGCAGGCAGCAAGGTCTAAAGGAGCAGGAATGGAAAAGCTGGAGGAGCAAGGCCCCTTCTGTACAAATTGTATTAAGGATCCAGTATGGAGTGGAAGAGGATTTGGGAGCCAGTAAATACCTAAAGTTCAGAAATACTAGCCCTTGTATACAATTGTGTAAGCACTCTTAAAGCCCCTCCAGTTTCTGAATTTTTACCACAAAATTTCCAAGCACTTCCAACCTGACCCTCACTAAAATGAAGGTTAGAAATACATTTTTTTAAAACAACTGAGCAACCTGGCACATTATAGCCAATGGATGAAATTGCACAATGCAGAGCACTTTGCTAGTTCTCTGTAGGTTTCCATTTCAGCTAGCAATGGAATGGGGGAAATGAAGGCGGGGCTGAGTGTGAAGCCTATTCCTGTGGGACACACAGTAGGCAGTGATCTGATGGGTCTGGCCAAAGGCCCAGCTAGTTCCAGTATATTGTTCTCACAGTGGCCGGCCAGATGGGAAGCCTGCGAGCAGGACCTGAATGAAATGGTACTCTTATCACCTGTGATTCCTAGCAACTGATGCGTGGGGGGCGGGGAGTCCCTGCCCTGAAACAAAGGATTTGCGACCCAGAAGCATTTCTTTGTGAGAGAAGGCTTTGAGCTGGTAATGAAACTAGGAGCTCAGAGGTACCCTTCACTCTTATTTCCAGGTACGCCTGCTTCACTAAGGCAATCTGCAAAACACTAGTTCACAAGCCTAGTAAAAATCAAAGTGAATTCTGCAAGCTGACCTCTGCCCACCCTTGATATAATAACACTCCTTATCTCTGTATTAATTTTAGGAATATGTGATGCCATTGGTCCATCAAAAACAGCATTATTTGCACAAGCTAGCAGTAGCTCTCCATGTTTTCATATGGGTCTTTTGCAACCCCTAACTGGAAATGCCAGGGTTGAACATGTGCCCTCTGCGCAGAGTAAACACTTTGCCACTCAGCTACAGCCTTTCCCTTTTTTCTTTGCATTGTTTCAATCATCCTTACAACATCCTTGCAAACTAGGTCAGTATTAATGTACGACTTATTGCATATGAGGACTGAAGCTGAAAGTCCTAAAATCCACATACCAATTTTGCAGCTGCAGTGTCATTTGCCTTTGGGCTGTTTTCATTCATGTTCTAAAGCACATTAGTAAGAGTAGGCTCTACAGAACACAATGAGATTTGCAACCAGGTAAACAGTCCTTCCAAATATTTAGGACACAATCCTTTGCAAATTTATCTGGGCATAGTCTTCATTGAAATCTTCCTTCTGAGGACTGGAGATTGTGAGACCACACTGTTTAGCCCCTGTAACACACAAATTTAGTAGAGAATTCAGCTTCCTAAGAGTAAAACCTACCCCAAAAGTATGGCAGAGTAACTCACAAGGTCGCGAGTGTTCCGTGTGTGCTCAGTAGAGCACACAATCAGATGTAGAATAGTTTGGAATGGTTTGGTAAAGGTCAAAGTGCAATCAGTAGGATGGTCAAGAAAGGCAGGATGCAGAAAGAGGAGTCCTAGAGAGGAATAAAAGGGGTCACAAAGGTTGCAGATTACAAAGGCTTTTTCCTTGAGAGGGACTGGAGTCTTTGAACTGGCAGTAAACTCTGCCTATCCTTTCCAGGCTTTTCTCCCCAATTATGAGGATTAGACATTTGTTTTTCACCACAAAAGCTTTTATTTTCAGGATCCATATTTCGATGTTTGCCCAAAGGCCAATACGTTGCAATCATGACTGTGCAAAGCATGTTTATGCAAATCTCGTCCATGCATTGTTTCCTTGTGATGTATTTTATTGCACTGGGGTGGGGTGAGGGCGACACAAGAGAATATGCCAGGGAAGATCAAGCAAATTCTGTCTCGTCTACAATGAGTTAATTGCCCCTTACTTGAATCAGTCTGTCCAGTCATTAGGCACTCACCCTCTGAATTTCAATTCTTCTGGTTTGGTGGGTGGTGGTTTTGACTACTGAATTCTACTTCCATCTGAAAATGGTACCTGATCAACCTGTCTGTGACTCTCCTTGTGGTGTGCCTCACTGCTGGAGTTTGGCTTCCAGAATGCACTCCCTAGAGAAGTTCACCTGACATTCACACTGATCAGAGTCAGGCAACTGTCTTTTTTCCTATGCCTTTTAATTCATTTTAATTGTATTACTTTTAAACTGCTTGTGACTAATGTACCAAGAAGGCGCTCTCCCACTTTCAGAACCAATTCTGGGTTCTTAATTGTTTTTGTTGCCCCCTGCCCGCCTTATGTGTTTGCACATCACAATTAGGCTCCACTATTTTCTCTCCGTTTACCCTTCTGGTTGAAAAGTGTAAATACAGGCTTCTTTACTAAAAAACCCTTTATAGAAATCCATATTCCGTGCTTATTTCTTTCGGCAACTGACTCCCTCCAGTTATTCACGAGAATATTCCAGAAGAACTACTGGGACCAAGATGAGATGTTGTTTCCAGATGTTTTGCTGCTCCGCCGCTGAAATTGTTTGTGGCAATTGCACAGAGTCAGTATTATGTGATGAACTTGGTCTTGCTTTGCATGTCAGGCTGAAACCATAGGCCCCAGGGCCCCTTTCAATAGGGAAATGGAAAGGAAACGATGACCTGCTAGCGCTGCCAAATTCAACATTTGTATTTAGTCACCGTTTGCTCATACGGATAACATAAAATGAACCGGCCCCACCCAGAGGGCTTGTGCAACCAACACTGATCTTTATTCAGAGAGGGGGGAAAGGCCCAGTGAAAAGTCAACCATTGCAACATGCTGTAATTGGCAGCAGAAGTCCTGTCATTTGAATCCCATCCCAGTTCACACTCCAGAATGGATAGTCTGCCTCTTGAAATCACCCTCTTGGCATGTTCCTGTCTATCCCTTGCACCTGATTAGCCAGTGCAAATGAAGGGGGGGGGGGAGGGCCTAGCAGCGGGGGTTGGGAACAGAGGTCAGGATGGGGGAAGCCAATATGCTAAACTGTGTGCATAAGCTGCTGAGTAATGTGATTAGCAGAGAGAGCAATGCTGCCAACACTGTGGACTGGGCCTCCCGCTATTCTCTTGATTCAAGGCTGTTTCTCCACCCTCTCCCTGCATTCCACACCCTTGGACTCCTTTGTCTGGGGATAAAGAGACCCTCGTCCTAGGGGATTTGGCAGCCAGATGTCACGTAGCAAGCATCAGAGCGGCCCAGCTAATAAATTCCACTCTCCCCGTGGCCATTGAAATGCAATGTTGGAGTTGTCCCCAATTCCAGCACTCCTGCAGTCAGGCACAATTATCTTTCAGCCTGGTCTTTCATGCAGCATTGCTGTGCTATGGGGATAGCGCAGATTTCTTCATGTTGCATCTATGCTGCTTGAAGACGTGGCTGCAGGCAAGGCCTTGCATTCTTCCTAACCCACCCACCGACCCACAACTACCTTCCTGAAACCTGTAGTTGTGCTCTGTTGCTGTTTGTCAGAGCATGGGGGGGCAGTGCCGACCCATTCCACTCTTCCATCGCCAGACACAGCAGCGATTTCTTGCACGATATAACGAGCATTTCTTCATCAAAACTATAAATTACGCCTACGTATGAACTTGAATCATCACTGCTCGAACCCCATAGACAGAAATGTCCTGACAGCTCACCGCACCTCAAGAACAAAGCTTTCCAAAGGAATTAGTTCCTGATTTTCAGCACTTGAGTCACCAAGTGCTGAGTAATCAAGTATCCGGAAAGCAAGTCATGTACTTGCATATGTGAATTGGCCTGTTGCCCTAGTAAGCAACTAGTTTTGCTAGAGGGCTGCTTTGAGAAAGGGACATGGGATGGCGAGCCAAGGCTGCTTTTCCACCCACGTGCAAATCCTGTTGTTAGAACCTCTCCCCTCTGCAGTGAAACTGATACCCCATAGGGAACTGGATTTGACCTAAGGGCTTCTATGTCCTGGTCATTGGCTAGCCTATAAATTTCTCATTAATAATGTGTATAATCCTGCCTCATTTCGAAGACAGCTGGCACACAGTGTTATACATGCAATCTACCACACAGAAACCATAAAGGAAGATCAAGGCCCTCATATATGGAGAGACTGACCCTCCAATGTCCTTATTTTCCAGGGACAGTCCCGGAATTTCCCGCTTTTCCTTAGGACATCCCTATTTTCACCAGAGAAATATTGGAAA